AAGGGTAAAAGATCCTCCACTCCTTGTGATGACTAAGGTATCTTAAAAGGAGCAATCCTTTCCCTACTTCTATTCCTTCTATATATCGAAATGCTTAGAATTCCCCCAACTTATTGTTGTAAAGGCGCTGACGACGTAGTCCTAGGCAGCACTGCTCCGACTGCTGAATCATCAGTGGCCCTTCAAAGCGGGTTGGATGAACTTCAATAGTGGTCGTCACTCCAAATCCTTATTCTCAACATTTCTAAATTGCGCGAGTTAACTTACTCTTTTCTCCGCACTGACTAACATTTGACTTTGGCAAGCACTTCTCGCCCCATGGTCGTAAGCGAGTCCAAGATACCCAGTTCCTCTACTGTTAAGTACCATAGTGTATATTTACCTGGTAATATATCTTGGTCAACACACTGACGAGACGTTCCGCAAGGTGCGAAAATTATAACTCTATGTCCTTAGACTCAAAATGCTTTCAGTACTATGCTAGTTAATTTGTAAATTCGTGACTGCCTGTATTGGTCTTCATTGGATTGACTTCCTACCCATCATATTCCTGGTATTGTACAAAAAGACCTCACATCGATTGTGCGTTCCATTAAGCTCATTTCCAAGTGTTGTGGAGTACCCAGAGTTACTGGTTTACTTCATCGATACTAGGCATTTAGGTGGATGTGACAAGTTTTCATTAAGAGTGTTAAGTGACGCTTTGCAACCCCTTCACGCTGCTTTATTTCAAGCCCCCTCCTAATCTGCCATAAATTCAGGGTTTTGTTTTCTCGCACAATATGTTATCATAACTCTATCTTACCGAATGTATTTCTTTTGCTTGTGGACTCTAAGAAACGTATCAGTACCACGCGTGAACGTTCATTTGAGTGAGGTGCAAGTATAATCTCTTTTTCTTACGCACTGATTGCAATTTCATGCCAATGTTATGTATGCCTCCTCACTACATCCGCATTGTTAGCGTAAAAATGCTGAAAATGTCCCCAGTCGGGTTCATAAAGCATACTGTGACTTGACTTAACAGTCTCATCAAAAGAGCAGCTACATTCAAATCTAGCAAGCTGTACGTATTACACCTAATGGAATTCGACAGTTGCACGTCTTTTTCAAGTGAACAGTAAGCGTTACTAAAACAGATGAAAATGGTTTCCACTAAGCAACAACACCGCCTCAAGAATAAGTTTGGAAGAGCCTACAAATTTAACATTCCAGTGGATTTTGAATTATTTCTACCACTGGGGTCACAATATCGGATCATTTTCTTTTCGAAGAAGGACTCCGACTTCTAGTGGCGTTTTCGACATGAAGTAATTCCAATATCCTCTAGAACATTCCGGTGCTGAAGTTTTTAACTTAGCAACTACGCCATGTACTTGGAGAAGTACAAATCACGAACAGTCATTTAGCTTTTCCTAAGCCATCCCGTGTTGGAGTTGACGATGCACTGTGGTGTATGTAAAACGGCATCACAAAACGTATCCCAATAAGTTGACAACTGGTTAGGTGCCCCCTTCCACACTTGGCTTTAGATTGTGTACTGCTGACGTCAGCACACTTCCCCAGCAACCTAGCAGTGGTACTGTAATACATGAGAAAATTATGCAAGGAACTCTGAAGACCTGCGTATTATGGCATCATACAATGCGATACAACATTGCATCATTCCAGGCTTAGGATGTCGTTATAATTCAACTAGATTAACATGAACAATGAAAATGAACTATATGAGATAGCTTTATAACGAGAGCCTGTAAAAATCCTCTTCAGAAAGCGAAAATATTACATATGAGGATACTTTTAGGTCAGTAACAAATTCACTGTTGAACGATGTAGGCTGAGACGCCAACTTGGTTTAGAAGCGATTCTGGAAACCTCTGATTGGTTGAACAGTAACATCGACTTCTGGAATTAATGGTGCGAAGCCAATTCAGCCAATCTCCTAGTAGGCGGAGGCATCAGGTGTTACGTACGATTTCCGCGGAAGTTCTTAGTAAACGCTATTAACGGAAACAGATTTCCTAGCAGAAAACACGAGTTCTGAGAAAAGTATTTGCCTTCCAGCTATCTGACATCACCAGAACTATGTAAATTAGTGACAACCAAAACAAAAAATGTACCAACGAAAGAATGCCACTTAACATACCAACTACCTAAGTTGCCTGGAAGAACAAACATATCAGATGTGATGTTGCCAGGACGTCTAGTGATCATGTAAATTTACTCAGCTGCGTCACGAACTCCAATACGCGGAGAGCATTTCCTACCCACAACGCAGCATCTTCCAGCCAGTTCAAGGCAGTGCACAGCCGCGTCAAAATGAACGATGGTCTGTTGTAAACTACGCGTCCCAAAAGTGAACTGCTGTGCCAAATGTTCGGCCCGTACAAGAACTATCAAGTATCCACCCCGCCTTCTGCCTTTTCACTTGTGCGTCGGTTGGGACTTGCGCGGGTCACGTAATCTTGCGTCATCTAGTCAGCCGGCTTCGTAAGCGCGTCTAGTCTCTCGGGCGACTGTGCATTGTTTGTCTGGTTTCGCAGAAACGGTGCGTTAACCAATTCATGAGTTGACTAGGCGCCCCGTTTCAGCGTTACGTGCAAGTTCGCGGCCAAGCTAACGCGACTAGGGGAGCGCAAAGTCATAACAGTTGATGGCAAGCGTCCTCAGTGGATTATCACTACAGCTTGAAGGTAATTCCGATGTGGTGAGGAATGTAAGTATGCAGTCAACATTAGCTACACTCGTAGACTACCGGTCCCCTAACGAATGAAAAGCTTCCCGTCGGGACCGCTGCACACTGCATAAGCACGGTTAAATCATCTCACTCCAATAGAGTAGGATGGCCCTCATTGTGGCCTTGTAAACACGGCCTTTTAGACGGAGGGAAACCACTTTCTGACGCCAAAGATGTCGCAGATCCAAAAAGACAGTTCTAGCTTTTGCAATGCGTAAACTGACTTCAGCTGCTATGCGAAGATCGTTGTCCACTCAGCTGCCAAGTTAAGTGAAGTGATCAACTACCTCGAGTTTCCCGCCATCAAGTGGCTAGCGGTCCAGTAACAACACATTGTACTTTGAGGGTGCGAAGCACATTCCAAATGATGAGGCCACCCGATAAGGTAATCAGAGTTAATTGTGCCGTCGCAACATCGTCAAAAAGCAAGACGATATCGTCCGCATAATCAAGATCAACTAGTCTTTCAGAGGTTAGCAGCGCAACGCCTGCATCGTGATGCTCCGCAATGGAACTTTCCATGATGCAGTCCATGACGAAGTTGGACAAAAATGAAAACTGAACAACGTGACGAACCCCACTTGTTGTCGGAAAGACATCCAGCTAATCACCGTAGACCCTGACACGTATGGTAGTGTTCGAGTATAGGGTACGTCAAATGTTTACATATTTCATGGTAACACCCTTCCGCACAAATATATCGAACAGAATGGATCGACAGACTGAGTCGAATGCACTCCCGAAGACGAGGGACAATTATTGTTGGTCCGGGATACAAGTGGCGCTGCTCTAGCACCTGCCGCAGAGTGAATATACGTTTTATACAGCCACATCCTAGACGGAAGCCAGCCTGCTCTTCACTAATGCGGGATTCCCGTCCAGCAGTGACGAGACGAACGAGTATTGAAGTCAGTAATTTTGTCACCAGGTGTTAGGCTGATATCCCTTCTTGTATGTTGCCACTATAATCGATCCACTCCAGTTCGCTGCGATGGTCTCTTCCTTCCAGACATGTCTGGCCAAGGTCAGTGCTGTGCAGTGGACCTCACAACCATCCATAAATAGTGAGAGGTGCGAGGGAATCCGGACCAACAGCACGAAAACGACTAAGGGCTGCGATCGTGTCTCGGACCTCCGCCTCCACTGGAGCCTCTAAACTAACGGGCCATTGCTCAGCCCGCAATATTTGAGGTTCAGTAGCAAGTAAAAAATGATGACCTACGTGCGCATTCAAATCCCCTGCAAGAATCATGATATCTGAACTGGTAATCCTGCGTAGTAGCGTGTTCAATTGGTGGTATAAAGTGTGCTTCGCAGCATCAGAACTACAATCGGGTGGGAACCTAAGTGTAAACCACAAACAAACGGCATCGAGTGCTACTTCATGAATCAAACTTGGTTGATGTCGTCAAACGGACTGCACATGAACGGTTTCTCATGGGAATCCAGTAAACCAACAATGACTAAACCTTGGAGCTGGGAAAAATGGCCACTTCTTTCTGACCAGCGGTTACCACACCAGCGTCTCCGGATGCGTGCAAAGTATAGCGACAGGACAAACCGAGTACAGTCAATTCAATTAGCCCGTGAGGTGCATTGATCTTAGTTTCGGACACACAGCACACGTCAATACCCCGTAAGTCCACCGTGCGTGCGAGTGCAGTCTGTTGGCTTATTTGTCTAAGAGTGCGAACGTCGAGAAGCGGACAAATCTAAGTCTTTGCTCACAACCTTTCTAGTGGACAGGGTGTTGCCATTCCCCCTAATCCCATTCTGAGCGCACAAAAGTGTATAGGAGATTGATAAAAGCAATTTATAGATTGCGTACACCGGGGTTGATAACAACCGGTGCTAAAGAGGACTGTCGAATCATTTACAAAAGTATAAACTGACTCAGTGAAAAAAAACAGAAATCTGTCAATCTGCGCTCTCTGAGTTACCTCGGAAATGTGCATGCCGAACACATTAACGGAGGGAGTGGGAGGAAATGTTGTCCTATTTCTGTCGGGACCGTATACAGAAGGAACGAACAAGTAAAATATGATGAAATCAACAACTGGAAGGCAATAATGATGTGCGGACGGACCGCCGAAAATTCTGTGACGGAGCCACAAAAAGGAAGATCTCCTGTGAAAGGCGGAGAAAAAAAGACAATGAGCCAATGGCAAGTAACGGGTACAGACGTGGTGTAGTAGAGCAGTGCGTATCGATGTGTTGAAGGGACACAAAAATGCAGTACCATTGGTTAAGCTGGCCTAACGCTATGATGGAAGTGATTATGGCGGCGACACATATCGTGGTCGAAAATAAACAAGAACAATGGTAAGTAGCACTTTCTTTGTCACCCTATATGCTTTCGGGAAATCCATTAACCACATATTCCGGCAAACAAGTTTTCACATGAAGACCATGCAGATAGCGTATCAATAGTTTTTAACAGTGTAGGACAATAGTATCAGTTGGGTGTGGAGAAAAGTAGAAAAAACAATACTAATGATAAAAGGTCACAAGGGAGCCCGCACACAGCAACAGTCGAAGCCTATCCTTTCGCCAGCACCTCAAGGAAGTTTCGCCCGACGCAAG